ATTTCGCCTTGTTTGGATGTTTCCAGTTCTTTTTTTTCCAATTTTTTTCCTCGGGTACCAATTTGTTTTGATAGACTTACAAGTTGCGTTATCCGAGGTTTTTTTTCAACCAGTATTCCTAGTAGTTTTATATATTTATATATATATATATATATATATATATATATATATATATATATGCAATAAATTTCGGCATGTAATCCCGACAGAGTTATAATTTATTGACACTTGGAAAAACGTTCATGAAAGTATGTTTCGTAAATAATATCCGATAATGCATTTCATGTGTTGTGTGTGTATGGATTTGTGTTTTTAAAATAGTTAAATCTTATATTATTTTTCCTAAGATGGTGTTGCTCGGGACTAAAAAGAGAAAGAAAATGAGTGACTTAAAAAAAAAATCGTTTAACATTTTATATTCTCCGCCTTAAGTGTCCGAGTTTTGAGAATGAAATCCTTCAGAATGGGTAGAAAAATAAATAAAAGAAATTATTTTTATCTATACGTTCTCCATTTTCCATTTGGAAATGTCAATAACTTTATAACTTTGTCGGGGTTACATACACAAATTTATAACATACTCTCGACACGGAGAATGCATTAATAAAAACAATTCTTTTTACCTTCAGATAATTGGAATGTCGAACTGAACCCTTTATTTCGCTAGCTGAGGTAGACTGTTCTAGTTCCATGTGCCATGTCTAATGGATGTCAGTTATCTCCTGTTAATTCCCTGATACCCATTTGACATGGCACGTGGAACTAGAACAGTCTACCCCAGCAAGCGAAATAAAGGGTTCAGTTCGACATTCCAACCATCTGAAGAAGGCCGGAGCGTACAACGTCCGAAAGTATTCTAGTCCTTCTCTCTTCACTCAATTTGAGATGTTAACATCTAATAAAGCAGAATGTTCTGCTCGTAAATTCTCTTCAAATGCTACTCTTGACACATCTGGATTATCTTTACCTGACTTTCTACTTAGAACTGACTCTCTTTTGAATGATATGCAGATAACATTATTCTGGGTTTCTTCTATTATCTCTAAAGCATATATATATATATATATATATATATATATATATATATATATATATATATATATATAACGTCACACAGGATCCCGCGAGGGTGAAAACGAGAAGTATTAAGTATTCACTCTCCCGTGATAATCTGTGAGCCGCCGTACGATTTTTGCTTACAGCGTCTCGTATGCACGAGTTTGTCGTTGCTTGGAAATCTTCCAGGTAAACAAAAACAGACTATCATTATTGCTAGTATTGTTTAATATATTGCAATGTTATTGTCATCTTTGATGATGGCTTATGTAAGCCGAAAGCTTAGATAGGATTAAAAAAAAACATGTGTCAATATGGTGATTCTCTTTCGTCTTTCAATGATAATGTTATAAACTTATCAGCCGATATGAAAGGAATTTGCATAAAATAAATAGACAAAACTTGTCTATATTATTTAATGAAACATGCGTCAATGAAAAATGCTGCCTAAATACACACACACAATATATATATATATATATATATATATATATATATATATATATATATATATATATATATTAATTTTTATGTTTATAATAAACAGTATTAAATAACATTTACCGTTTGAATGTCCGAGAAATTTTCATAGAAAATATTCGTCCTTTGACAGGATATATTTTTCTATGAAAATTTCTCGAACGACAAAATGTTATTTAATATTTAACAAACAAAGCATTTACTTAAATACTTGTATATATAAAAAAGAACGTTAAACATAAAAATGTCTTTAATAAATAAATATTTCTTAATATATATATATATATATATATATATATATATATATATAGAGAGAGAGAGAGAGAGAGAGAGAGACTGAAGATTGCGGTTAGCATGAAACAGACTGTCACCTCTGGTTATTGAGTTCAATGTTTACTGTTTTATTTACATACGCCCTATCCCTGATATTGTGGACTTTAACTCGGTGAGTCTATGAGATCACTAAAAAGTTAGCATACCGTGCTGAAAACATGTCCCAAACGTAATGAAAACATAGTTTTATCGTCTAAATCTTTATGTTATTATCAAGGGGAAGGATCAAAGTATCTTTTTAATATTCAATTCAATTTTTTACTCCTCCTTAAAACATTCGAAATTTTAATAAAAAAAAATTGTTTTTGCGTTACCGGTTGCATTAACTTTTAGCATAGCAAATTGTAGCCTCTTTTTTGCGGTGACAGACACAATAATTTGGAAATTCTTACAAAAATCAAATAATTGTGGAATTTTAATTAAATTTTCAGGATTTACTCACAAACGAATGAAATTATATTTGAAATTATTTTTAGAAAATCTTGATAAAAATATGTTTTATTTTACATGTGATTTTTCACCTTACTTAATTTTATGTAAGCTTGAGAAATTCGGGATAATTTTTAGTGACTATATTCCTTAAAAGCAGAGTTTTTTTTAAACATTTAAATCACCGATTTTCTTTTGCAAAATGGGACTCGATCTTCGATCTGAAAATCTGTCCAGAATCGAAAAATAAAAAAAAAACGCAATAAAACTTAGACGTTATTAGTTAAGTAAGCTTTTATCAATAATATATATTAAAGATAATATTGTCTGAAGAAAAAAATTTCGATGAAAAATGAATTTTAACAAAATTTGTTTTATTTTTTACAATTTTTTACAGTTTAAAACTGAATAATTTATAAGATGTTTGAATCTCTCTCTCTCTCTCCCTCTCTATCTATCTATCTCTCTCTCTCTCTCTCTCTCTCTCTATATATATATATATATATATATACACGCCATGGGCCTGTAAATTACATCACAAGACATCCTAGCTTGAAACCTATATTTCAAGAAGTGGGTTAGGCGATATTTTTCAGACACACACATACGCACACACATATATATATATATGCTGAAAAATGAATTTTTTACAAGATAATTTTTCTACATATATATATATATATATATATATGCAGAAAAATTATATATTTATATTGAATAAAGGAACAAAATTATAACAACATATTCAAGTACACATGGGTGGAGCGGCCATGTGAGTGTCATTAAACATTGTTCGCAAAGAGTGTATGACTAATCAGAACGAGAATTATCAGGGTAAATGTTTTTCTAGTATTCCCTCCTCCGTGCACACATATCTATCTTTTAACATTTATTATATATGTATACATGTACTCTCCCGCTCTCTCTTTATATTTCCCACCACCATATGGTTGCCTCCCTTTGCCTATTCTATAAATATATAACTTTCATGATAATTGTTCGGAGGAGTTCTTCGCTTTGGTACTTAGACGCTTCATCGTTAGGCAGAGTACTAGCCTCGCGTTGATATCTCACCAGTCGAACTTGCTATATGGCCAAACTTATTCCGTTGTGATCTGACATCTGATGTGAACACCAGTAGTTTGTATTTTCATGGTAAGCCGACGCGAATTTGAACAGTACCTGAAAGATGGGACTTTTCATTTCTGAAATTTTGAAGACATTCACATTCCGCGATCGACAGTGTCATATGTGTACCAGGAACACATATTGGAAGTCATTATTGACCACCGTATACAACGCAGTGCTAACCACAGATTCCTAAAAGACAGAAGCGTCTCTAAAGAACTGTCTGTAGCAGCCAAGAGACACTAACTGAAATCACATTTACATTCAATGCAGAAAATAGCAGACACATATCTGGTAGGCCATTTGAGCGTTCTTTAGATTCCATAGCATATTGGAGCAGAAGAACCACTAGGATGTTCCCTACATGGCTTTGTGACGTCGCTAATTTACCTCGCGAGGACTGGGAACATGTGGTGTGGACGGATGGGTCATACTTCCAATTGTTTTTGATTGGTGCTAACATTCGAGTATCCAGCAGACCTCATGAGACCATGAAATCTAACTGTCAATTAGACAGCGTGTTGGCTCTTGGTGGTTGTCACATAGTGCGGTGTGTGTTAACGTGGCATATGTTGAGTTCGCAGGCCCTACTAAACACGCCATTAACCTGTGATTTGTAAATTGCACTATTTCATAATCATTTACACCCATTCATAGTTACCGTGTATCTCATCAACATTTGGTTATTCCAACAGAAAAAATGTACCATACTCTCAGACCAAAATTGCGCAGAATCTGTTTGCAGAACATACTGGAGGCTTCTAACGAATGGTGTAGCTTCTACGTTCATCAAACATAGGCTCAATCGGGCATTTATGGGACATGGCGGAGTAGTCTATTGGCAAGCAGGATCTGACGCCTACAAATTATCAGAGAACTGTGGACAGCTGTTGAGATGGCTTGGTTCCTTATCATCTTTCCAGAGATCACCGACCATTTATGTAATCGAATTGATATAACGTCGAGTTGGTTCACTTCGCCAGACTAAAGGACATCCTACACGCTATTAGGCACCATTGACATAAATACATAATCAAATATACACTGTTTTTTAAATGCACATCTAGAAAAGCTGTTGCTGCGATTGTCAGTTTTGCCAGAGGCTAGTGATAAAAATTGTTTGAGGATCTACAATAATTTATAGAAGTGCAATAGTAGTGTAAGTGCACAGAGTTTTCGATTAACTCAGACCAGACAGAGAGAGAGAGAAATGCAGAAAGACACTGAGATCGACATTTGAATAACAGAGAGAGAGAGAAGAGAGAGAGAGAGAGAGAATATATATATATATATATATAGTCATCCACAGACAGACTGTTTCGCTGTATCACAACTCCCTTAGTGTGGCTAGACACGCAGTTGCTTCAAGCCGGGAAACTCGACCGATTTAACATCAGTCACACGTTACGGAGAAAGGGAAATTTTAATGAGTGCGTGTATAGATATAATAGGAAAGAACTGTTAGATTGATAATCCATCACGATAGAATCATATTTGAACACACACACACACATATATATATATAGAGAGAGAGAATGAGAAACAAGGCGATATATTGCTAGAGATAAAGGCACAAAGAAATATAAATTCAGCTTACAGAGAGAGAGAGAGAGAGAGAGGAGAGAGACCGAAAGAGAGAGAGAGAGAGAGAGAGAGAGAGAGACCGAAGGAGAGAGAGAGAGAGAGAGAGAGAGAGAGAAAATGAGAAACAAGGCGATATATTGCTAGAGATAAAGGCACAAAGAAATATAAATTCAGCTTACAAAGAGAGGGAGAGAGAGAGAGAGAGAGAGAGAGAAAGAGAGACAGATAAAAAGAAAGAGATAGAGCGAGGGCATACATAGATAGAAACAGGGACAATGTAACAAGGAGAGATAGACAGGTCGCACAGTGAGACGTGGAACCATAGAGACAGATAGAAAGAGATAAGCAGACAGACGTTTAATTAGAGAAATATATATCGCTAAAAAGAGAGAGAGAGAGAGAGGGAGTTGCAAAGGAATAGAACCTCAGATAACTGAGAGACGGAGAGACAGAGAGAAAAATAGAGAGAATGTAATATATTGATTGAACAGAGACAGAGAGGCACAGATCCAGGAAAAACAGAGACAAAGAAAGAGAAATAAAAAAGGAAGAGAGAAAGAGAGAGAGAGAGAGAGAAAGAGAGAGAGAGAGAAAGAGAATCATAAAAAGAGACAAATATATAAACTGAAAGGGATAAAATCATATAGATACAACGAGAGATGGAGAGAGAGAGTGAGAGAGAGAGTGAGACTAATATAACTCAGAGCTAATTAGAGATGCAGTAAGAGAAGAAAAAAGACAGAGAATCAATTCGACAGAGAAATAAAAAGAAAAATCATATTGATAAAGATAGAATAAACGGTAGAAAGAAAAAAATAGAGATTAAGGGAACTGAGAAAGAGAAAAAGATAATTTGTGTTTTATCTGTGAGAGAGATAAATATATTAATAGATACAGAGAGAGAGATAAGGAGTGGCTTAGGTAACAGAAAGAGACCGAGAATCATTTACATAAAGTTGTAGCTTCTGTCTGTCTGTTATCGAGCTCCTCCTAGGGTTTTGGAGATACCCCCCCACCCCATAACCATATAGATTCTGAAACTACATTACCCAGGGTACTTGGGTAAGTATATTTCATTTTGATCAAAGGGTATTCCCGGAGTTAAAGCCCTCCTCACTGATTTTTTTTTCCCTTTGATATAAATTAATTTTAAATTTGAATAAGGAATAACTTCTAGGGTACTTTGATAAGTATATTTCATTTTGATCAAAGGGGGTTCAGGGGGGTGGGGACAACTCCCCACTGAAATTTTTCCCTTTGATTTAAATTAAATTTAAATTTGAACTCCTAGCCAAAATATAGAAGGAGAAAGCCAGAAGATGGAGGTCACATCAGCAAGGAAATTTGGTTCTCCGTGTCGTGCCAGAAGATTTTTCTCGTCTGAATCCATCCTTCACATGTATAAATTTACCATTTGTCCTTGGAATACTGTTGGCATATATGGTCTGGTGCCCCCGCTGTTCATCTCGAGTTTCTTGACAAAATCTAAAAACGGATATGCAATGTGATCAGTCCAGACTTGGGGTTCGAACTCCAGTCAGACTGAAATAATATGGCTTTATTTTAACTAGTGCCCCGACTGCGTGAATTTAAGCGTACTGCTAGGTTGGCATCTCGGTCCCACTCTTTTATTGTCGAAACAGTTAAATGTAAACGCCTCTTCTACTCTAACAGCTTTTTCTTTTGCACTTCCCGACAGAGGAACTCCCTTCCTCTTACTTGTTTCCCTAATAACTATAATCTTCAAAAATTTAAATGTAATGTCAATCGAAATCGTCTGTTGCTTTGATCCCTGTTCTTCTTTTTATATTTTCCTGAACCCCTATAACCAGTCTTTTCCCTGAAAAATGTGAAATCCCTAAAAAATGTGAAATCCCTAAAAAATGTGAAATCCCTAAAAAATTTGAAATACTTTAAAAAAAGGAAGCGAGAATATGGAGGTTAAATCGACAAGATCATTGAGTAATATTGAAATGCATCATTTTACAAAAAATGAGGCACGCAGCATCCGCGAGTAATTCGGCTAGTATATATATATATATATATATATATATATATATATAGGTAATCACGTGATTTTGGTCTTTTGTTTCTGCTTATATATATATGCAGCTTTCTTTACCTCTTTAGCCAACTTTCCCTGACGATCCGCTTAGGTGAAACCTTGGTAGGTTTGTCTGGCTCTCTAGGTTCGACTATATATATATATATATATATATATATATATATATATATAGAGAGAGAGAGAGAGAGAGAGAGAGTGACAGAGAGTCAGAAAAAATAGGGAAACAGAGAAAGAGAGAGTGTGTGTGAGAGAGAGATATATAGAGAGAAATATATATAAAGAGAGAGTAAGATAGAAGTTCAGGCAAAACACAGAATGCCACCGAGAAGAAAAAGAAAGATAGTGAGATAAAGAAACAAAAAAAATTAAAAAAGTCATGGTTCCACCTCATCTCGAATAAAGGGTCAGGAACAAAGATTTAAAACGAGACACCCTTTGGATATATTCTATATGACGTTTCCCGTTCAGCATGTGGAGGATTGTGGATCTCCACAACTTCCTCTCCTTTGTAGCAGCGTTTGTCTTTTTTGCTTTCTTTCTCTTAATCCCTGTTCTGCCAACGATTTACAAAAACCCATTGACTACGTTATTCTCTGCTTTCCTCTGTCTTTCTGGGCATCAGCATGTCCAGTGTGTGTTAAATTTTTCAAGCCCACTTTCTCCATTATTTGCCCTAGAAACTTCAAGTATAAGTGTTCTTTTTGTATCCATTTTCTTTAAAACTTATGTACATAGTATTCTCGGCATCCATATGTAGAACCAAATTCCTGTTGTTTAAAAAGTCTTTTCTTTATTCGTGAGGAGATTGTCCAGCATTGACTGCCATATAAGAGGACCCAAATTACTTAACATTCGTCTACTATTTTCTTTGTTTCTATTAAAATTTTTAATTATTTCATAATAGTTTGCTTAACTTTTGGAAGGCATTTTTCACTTTTCCTTCGCATTTCGTTGTCGCCTTTTCCGTCCTTTTTTAAAATACTTCCTCGATATTTAAGTTTGTTTAATTGATTGACCTTGGTGTCTTCAATTCGTTGTTCGTATTATTGAGTTTTCCCTTTTATTGGCAACTGTACATTCTGTCATAAGTTCTAAAATTCATAGTTGATTCAACAAAGGAAGAGATAAGGATCTCTAATTTCCACGGGCCAGAGCGACATGGTTTAACGGTCTAATTCCAAGCCCTTGGTGCTGAACTCTGATCTAACGCAGGCAAAACTGATGAGAACGTAATTATCAAACCGAGGAAATAGTCCCAGGGGTTGTCCTCATTCATCGACTGTTTTCTTTGTACAAAAGATTCCGTATGAATTTTGTAACTGATAATAGGATTTGAAAGTGGTCTGGCTGTCTGAGACTTCAGTAAGCATTTTCTCAAAGACGCAACTTAGTTGTTAAGACGTGTCATTAATTCTTAAAAGGCGCGCATCCCTAACTAATGTATCATTAGAGATCAATGGCTATCATCAACTAATGATTGAAACTTTTTTTAATAGGTATCACACCATGCATGGCAGTAAAGCCACTAAGGCACAAGGGGTTACAGGATGTGGAAACTTAGGAACAGAAACATCAATAATGACATTTCATTTAAATTTTTGCAGATTAAAGTTGGCCGAAAAGCATGGAACCAGAAGAGAGTTCGACAAGCGAGAAATTGTTGGCATAGAATTTACGGTTATATCTAACCAGTTCAACAGTAAATTGATGAGATCTCGACGCTACTCCAGTACTGCACTTGAATTAAAAAAAAGTCTAGGCGCCATTGTGAAGAGCGATATTTATTTTCGCTCCAAATACAGAAAATATGGCACAAGGCCAAAAATGGAGAATGGGGAGAAGGCCAAAAATGGAGAATGGGGAGAAGGCCAGTCTTCTTCTGTCTTAAATTTAAATTTAGCTAGCAACAAACACTCACCCAAACATATTCCTAACACCAAAACAATGCATTCTTACTTACCTTTCTTACTACATCCACCATAATACCTCATTGTCTCTATGAAAATCATAACTAGTCTCCATATGTACAATTCATTGTTTGTGGGCGGGGGGAATAAAACTATAATAAAAATAAAATTTTTAAAAAATAAAAATTTTTTAATAAAAATATCCCCAATATGAAAACAGAACTAAGAGCTCATCCGAACAATTGTCATAAAAGTATTTATAGAAAAGTTACAGAGAAACAACCTTACGTCGTTGGGTAAGTAACTGAAGGACCAATAATATTGCTGATTCTTCTTTGAGTTTTATCAAGGGGCTCAAGGTCAAAGAAAAGGCACCGGACCATATGTGGCAGCAATTTTCCAAGTATGAACGAATAGCAGGCTTATAGATATGTAAGATAGATTCTGGAGAGAAAACTTGCCTCGCATGACACAGTGAACCAACTTTCTTAGCAGATAACCCAGCAATTGATTCAATATACTCTTTCCACTTCAGGTCAGCTGAGAATGTTACCTCCGGAATTTTTATTCATTCATGATTCGAATCTAAATACTAATAGGCAATTGATGTAGTTACTAATTCCTAGGATCCATGAGCCTACATAATTTCATGGAGTATTTGCCGTAAATAAATCTGGAATAACAGGTCAAAATGAGGGCCGTATATGTATGCATGCTTTTCGAAAAGAAAAGAGGCGAAAACTGTTGACAAGTTTGTGCAAAGAGTGTGCAAATGGAATGTTTTAAGGGGTATCATCCTATTAAAAACTTTAAATCCAAAATCTAAGTAAAGTATTAAGAAACAGGAAAATGACATTAAAAACAAAGAAAAGAGTATTGAACTCTTACGTAATATCAGTTCTCCATACAGGAGAACTGATATTACGTAAGAGTTGATATTACGTAAGAGCTGTGAATGTTGAACAATCTCCTCACAGATGAAGAAGTGGCTTTGCGCTATAGAAATATGGTTCTTGAAGATGGGCCGAACATGTGAAGAAAGACAATGTTTTAGAGAAAATGGAAAAGAAAAATGCCTCTTATATTTAACATCAGGAAGAGACCGTTGACATTTCTAGGGCACATAATGAAGAAAGAAGGCTTGGAAAATCTGATACTCACAGGACAGATCGAAGACAAGAGGAAAACAACGCATAATCTAATACAAAATACAAAATTTATTGAGAGCTAAAAAGGAAAGGACGTTGTGGGGAGCCAAGATTGCCAACGTCCTGAAGGGGCACAGCATTTAGAAGAGTATAATTTACATTTAATTTACATTTTCCTTAAAACGTTCTCGCTGTTTGCACGC